CCGCAGGACTCCGTCGTACATGGTGTTCCAGAGTAGGGGTCCCAACACGGAGCCCTGAGGGACTCCGTCGGAGACTTCATATGCTGTGGAACCCATATCCGTGGCCACTGTGAGCACTCTCTCACTGAAGTAGCTCCTTGCTATCCTCATGAGGTACCGTGGGATATTCAGGGCGGCGAGGGACTCCAACGTTCGGTTCCAGTTCGCGGTGTTGAAGGCGATCCTTATGTCTAGCGTTACCACTAGACAGTAGCTTTTGGAGCCATCTTCAACCTCTTACCTGCGATAGCCGATGGCATCCAGCGTTGACTTCCCCTTCCTAAACCCAAACTGGTTTGGAGAGAGACCACTGGCCTCCTCGATGGCGGCAGTCAGTCTGGCTGAAATGATCCGCTCGAATACCTTTCCGGTGGTGTCGGTGAGGCAGATGGGCCTAAACGAGGATGGCTCTCCTGCGGCTTGCCCGGCTTGACGAGTAGCAGTAGCTTCTGTCTCTTCCACCTCTCCGGAAAGGTCCTCCAAGCACTTGGAGTACAGGGTGGCGAACGCCCTCGGGTGTAAGGCGACGGACAGCTTCAACGCTCTGTTGGGTACAGCGTCCGGCCCAGGTGCCTTCTTGGGGGCACACTACTGCACATCCGGATCACCTTCGCTTCCGAGACTTCGCAGGCGTAGTTTGGGAGACGCTCCGCACTGGGCTCCATGGTTCCCGGAGATCCTGTCGGGAAAAGCGCCCGCACGATGCCGTCCAAGGCCTCGGGGTTCGATGGAGCTGTACTGCCGGCTCTCAGCCCTTTGACTACCATCCTATACGCTCCGCCCCAGGGGTCGTCCTCTGCATGGTCGCAGAGCTGCAGTAAGCGGTCCCTCTTAGCGTCCTTTATGGCCGTCTTGAGGGCCTTCCTCGCCGTCCTGTAGGCCTAGCTACGCTGTGCGACACGTGAGGTGCCGCGCGCACGGGTCAGCTGCCTCCGGGCTCGAAGGCAGGTGCTCCTGAGGTCGGCGATCACATCGCATCACCAGAACATTGACCTATGGTTCCTCCGGAACGAGCCTCTCTGTCGCATGCTCTGGTCGCAGGCATGCTCCAGGGTTGTTGCGATGCGGTTCGCCATCTCGTTGGCTCCACCCGTCAATTCGGCCGCCATGCCGCCCAACGCGTTTGCGAAAGCCTGCGTGCACAGCGTGTCTGGCCGGTAGGCTTTGCTGGGCCGCGGTACTAAGCGGGTATCTTCCGCGGATACTCCCACTGAGCATAAGATCGCCTCGTGATCGCTCCCGGTATGTGCGTTACAGATTCCCCATCTAGCGGTATGGGAAATTGCTCCGCTCACATACGTTAGGTCGATGATTGAGGCGGCTCCTGCTCTGACAAACGTATGCCGCTCACCGTCGTTGAGGAGGATAACGTCTGTCGATGCAAACGCCTCGAGTACCTTTGGTCAAGACAGATCCCCACTCCTGGGCCCAGGGGTTGAAGTCTCCTCCGACTATATCGTTGGGATTCCCGCGTAGATCGGAGCTGAGGTCGTCCAGGATTCTACAGAACACCTCCAGTGGGAGACTAGGCGCCAGGTAGCAGCTATATATGCGGCAGCCGCCAATCTCCGCCCGCACGAATCCGTCTGCTGTCAGGATGTTGGACATCCGTAGTCTTCTGTCTCCGCAGAGCCAAAGGGCCGCCTTGCCAGAGCGGTCCTTGGCCCACTCTCCTCCCTCGCTCACCCTGTATGGCTCGCTCAGTATGGCCACATCCGCCGCTACCTCTCGCACTGTCTGCGTCAGCAAGTCCTGCGCCGCTCTGCAGTGATTCTGGTTGAGCTGAATTAACTGCATACGGTCTTTGGAATACCGGTACCGCCATTTCCGGCCTGACTGCTTTTGCTGCCGGGTCGATCGTTGGCCTCTCCGGAACTCGCTGAAGAGTTCACTTGCTCCTTTTTACAGGCAACTGCCTTGTGGCCTGCTTCGCCGCACTTGATGCTCTTATCCACCAGGCTCTTACACCTAATGGCGATGTGCCCAAGCTCCAGGCATCTGAAGCAGCGGAGAGGGCCCTCGCGCTCCCGCACTCTGCATATGGTCCAGCCTATGCGGACTTTGCCGCGCCGCCTGACTTCCTTCGCCATCGGGCATGGCAGGCTGAAGACCGCCGTTTTAGAATCCCCATACCCGGGGCGGAGGCTTCGTATCCTCACTGCTCCGTCGCTAAGCTGGTATTGCTCTACGAGGGCGGTACGGATCTCCCTCTCCATCGTGATCGCGTCGAGGTTGCGTATCTCGAAGACGCAGACCTTCGACTCCTCCGTTAGGGCTCGCGCTTTCGAAGGACCCTGGATATGCTGTCCCTCATGGACTCAGCGCTCTCTGAGCTTCCTCTGGCTATCTCGAGAAGTAGATTCCCCCAAGCCGTCTGACGCACCTTCGTGACAGCCCCTCCGAGATCGGTCAGCTGTCTGTCCTCCCTCTTGTGAATAGGGCCTGGATCTCGCTGTAGCTCTTCCCTGGCGCTTCCACCGACCGAGCCTTTTTAGCACCGTTCCTCGGCACTGCGGGGGCTGTGGCCTGGGCTGGAGGGGCTCGCCTCTGCCTGGGGACGTCGCTCATCCCGGCTATGCCGTCTTGTTGGCTGACCCTTCTCCACGGGTCAGTCTGGACTGCTCGGTCTTTCCTCGGCACTACCGCCGTCTGCAGTGCCTTGCTTTCAACAGTCTTCCCAGCTGGTAGGATCTGGGAGCATTTGCAGCATACGCTCTCCGGGGCGCTCGTTTTCTCGGGCTCCACTGTTGACTGCTCGATGCCGGACTTGAGCTTCCGCATCTCCGCTATCATCGCCTTCATTGTAATGTTGATGTGGCGCACCTGCTTCTCGTGCACCAGGCTGTGGAGTCCGTCGAACAGCTTTCCCAGCTTGATGACGCAGTCGGTGCGAGTAAGCGTCATCTCCTGCTCAACCTCAGCGTCAGGGGTGGTCTCCTCCTAGGCGGCTTTGCTTCTCTTCGGTCACAGCTGATCTTGCCAACATGCTGCGGGGGCAGCCACATTTACCGAGAGAGAGAAGTTCTCACCGCTCCCACCGCTGGCCCAGCTCAGAGAATTGGAAGATCGGGCTTCCTGAATCATCCGCGGACACCACGGGTATGACGCTGCAGGTGAGCAATCTCAGCCATTTCGCAAGGCCGGTCAGCATCCGATTTTGCAGGGGGCCTTGCCACAACCCCCACACCACGCGTTCGTCGGGGGAGCACCGCCGTGGTGCGTCCGTGCCCGGCGACTTCACACACCATCTCAAGCCTGAATATGTAATTTTAAATGATTGTTACAAATAGTGTGTAACGTCTTGTCGTCCACGGGTAGTCAGCGGGACGTCCAGGGTCTGTGCAGATATATTTATTTGGTTCAAGCGTGGTTGCTATAAGAGATTCCGACCCCGTGCCAGAGTAGAACGCTAGAGGATTAGAGATTATGCCGTAAATGTATCTTAATGTTTATTTACTTAAAAGGTACAATTTTCAATAATTTCATGCCGGATCTCGATTCTGGGGTTACGCCGTAGTTCCGATTCGTCCTCCTCGTCCCGAGTGCGGCTGTCCGATAGGGGAATGCCGATAGTCCCGCCAGGGTATGGGCCTTGAAAGCCACCCAATAGCGAATGCGTTCGGACTCGAAAGTCCTCCACGAGAGAATGCGTTCGGACTCGAAAGTCAACCGAACCCAGTAGTTGTCGGACTCGACAGTCAGCTCAGCGCCGTTGGTTGGACTCGAAAGTCAGCTCAGAGAAGTTCGGACTCGAAAGTCTGCAGATTCCGACTAGAAAGTCAGCTCGAAGACGTTTGGACTCGAAAGTCTGCAGATTCGGACTCGAAAGTCAGCTCGAAGACGTTTGGACTCGAAAGTCTGCAGATTCGGACTCGAAAGTCAGCAGAGAGAATCGGACTCGAAAGTCGGCAGTGTTTCGGACTCGCAAGTCAGCCGAGAGACTCGGACTCGAAAGTCTGCAGTATTTTGGACTCGCAAGTCAGCAGAGAGAATCGGACTCGCAAGTCAGCAGAGAGAATCGGACTCGCAAGTCAGCAGAGAGAATCGGACTCGAAAGTCGGCAGAGATCCTAACTACGATTTATAAATAGGAACCTGAGTTCCCAAAAAGTGACTTCGCTGCTAACTACTGGGGAGGTTAACTCGACCCAATCGCAGTCGGCTGCTAAGTGATTACTCCAGGGCCGTGGTCCGCTTTATATAGGCCCTGGCGCGGCTTCAGTGTGGCCAGAGTCCTGTGCGGGCTTTTCCCCGAATAGTGTGGCCAGCCTCCGTTCGGTCCAGTGTGACCCTCCTTCACGATCAGTGGCGCGCGCGCGCTTTCAATTCAAATTATTTTCATAATGTTGCCAATCCATTTCTTATGTCCCTAATTGTTTCTATTTCATTCTATCGCATATATATTGTGCGCCTACAGGCGTCACAAGTGGGAGAATTAGGAGTGCCTTCGTAGGATAGGGACATACCTTTATATTAAAATTAAATGAGAACACGCCAACCGGTTTTCTCTTCCTACGAAGCTGGAAATACCAACTCCCGGGTGACGGTTGTCCACAATGTGGACATCGCCAGGGCCCTTTTTGTCCCCCTGATGGGAGTTGTAATCAACAAGCAGTCGTCAAAGTACATTAATAAGCTTTTGAAACACACCAATATGCTGGCCTGAAGTTTAGACTTTGCAGAACTGGCGCATGCTGAGAAGAATTCACCCATTACCTCCGATAGTGAATAATATAACACCAAAAATAAACACTGCCCTACAATATTGTATAAAGAATAGGGAAGTTCTCTGCAAGAAAAGAGAAAGAAGAAACGCTTTCTTGTGCCTTTTACACAAGTTTTTGATTGACACAGTATTATTATAGAAAACTAATTAAAAAGACAATATACATACTTTATATCTTTCATAAAAAATATAGAATATAAAGAGTTTATGTTACAGCAAAGCTAATGTTATATTACCTGGTCAAGTTCCTCGAATGCTTTACCTCTTTCCTCTTCTATTGCGCAGGCACCATATGCTTCTTTTGGGGCTCGCAATTTTTCATTTTCTCCTTTATCATAAAGAGATTCCGCGTCTGCTAGTACCCAAAGAGGAATTTCAGCAAAGCTTGTAACTGTGAAAGCGACACAGCCAATGAAAATAAATGTTATTATAGAGAAAACGGCCTTGACGTGTCCACCCAATCGCCGACCTATATTATTTAAAGTAAAATAACTTTGAACAAGCGCTTTAGTATATGTTTCTTACCAATATCAGTTTCATCCCAGTTCAAGCCACCCATTGAATATCCAAAAAATCCACCCAAGCCTGCCATAATGGTGAATGTTGATAAACCCTTTGCATGATCTTCTGGTAGACATACGTCTAAGAGATAAGCTCTAGCAGGACTTTGGCAAGCATCTGCGTCAAAATCGAGAAGGACAGTTCCTAATACTGTAAAAAAAATGCCCCACGCGTGAGAAGTCTTCGGTGGCATATAACGATTATTGGTGAAATTGTTAAATTTATTTTCTTCATCAAATTGACCTCGTGAAGTATTATCACTTCCATCTCCAAACCAATTTCCAAGAGATTCTCCGTTGGGAACCAATAGAAGTCCTTGAAAGAAAAATAATTTTATACATGAAATGTTTTTTATATTGTGCTTAAGAACCACAGAAATAAAAACTAAAATAAGTACATCGATAATCATCAAGAATTAAAATTTCAATTTATTCCGATAAAGTAGCATATGGGCATTTCCATAATGTCGCACGCGACATTCGTACGCATTCAAAGCAAAAAAAAATTATGGTACATTTCATTTCTATTTTTTTTATATATGTTAACTTATAGCTCTTGCCTAGGGCTATAATTGGTGCAAATGTTGATTTTGAGTGTTTGCTCAAATTTAAGAAAATTTAAAAAAACTGAAGGATTTGCACGCGACAAAAACAGAAGTCACTTTCGCGGCGAGCTGTTTAAACACTGATTTCAGCGAAACGGCAGAGACTATTTTAATGAAACAAATTTTAAAAGGTGATGCAATAATGCCAGTTTCATATGCTTTATTTTATAATCAGAAATATAGCGTAGTTTATTTGTTATTTAATTTTAATCAGATTTGCACGCGACATTTTTTATCATCATACTTTGCATGTAATTTTGACTATTATAAGTAAATTGGAAGAGCATATATCCATTTATTTCGACTTTTTGCATTCTTCTAGTCATGTTAGTAAACAACACTCAAAGCATAATGCCTCGGTTTGGATGTAATTATCAAAAGAAAACGGACCCATTTTTATGACGTTTTTCATCAAAATAATGAAAAATCGTGTTTGCGCGAATATGCATTCGAATATTTCGAAATTTGTTTAAGAATATGATAAAGCCTTTCAAATTTAAACAATTGGCCTTTTCCTAATGTTACTATGTTGGAAAAAAAACATTTTAGAGAAGTTTTAGTGTTTTGGCCGCGGTGGACCTTTCCGTGGAAATGCCCATATATTTTCTAAAATAAGAGTGTATATGCCAAATTTTAAGGATACAAAGTGTCAGCCACCGGTATACTGAGTACGAAAAGCAATTGTTTCGGCATTGGCAGAAGAGCGGAAAAGGTAACGTAAAGCGGTAACGCGTATTGGGCCTGGCTCATAGCATTCGCTACGAGGAGACAAAGAGAGGGAATCGATTATGGGAAACACCTTCTTCTAGGGCAGAATTTATGGCCTAAACTCTAGGCCATGATAGAATTATACAAGGTAGTCCACTCGGCTGCCGAAGTCGTTCGGGTTTTGGTCCATTAATGTCAGTGCATGCCTGCTTGTCGAACTGAAAGGCTGTGTGCGGACGGTTTTTTTTCAGAGCTTTAACCCTTAAGGGGTTATATACAGTTGTACCGCGCAAAAATATGAAGTTTTGTCGATTTTTTTTTTGACACCATAAAGAATATTTATTAAAAATGTTTTGCCAGCGGTGTTTAGTACATCTTTCTGGGTACTTATTAAATTTTTTTTATAAAAAAAATATTAACTAATAAAAAAGTTATGGCCGAATTCAAATACCCTCTTTTTCCGATAGTGACTTGCGGTGGACATCATATCCCGAGAACGGTTCATCAGAAATCAAAAATTCGACAAAATTTCGTTAGTATATTGAATTTTCTTGTCCGTGAACGAAAAATTTTGATTAAAAAAAAAATGGCGACGATTTTAACAAAAAATGTCCTTTTTAAGGGGTAAAATTTTCGGTTTTTATGCTCTAAAAAAGGAAGTTTTCAAAAAAATTGAAAATCCTTCGTTCACGGACTAGTTTTTATTATAATAAATAAGTGGTCAAGATTTGGTGTTGATCGGATTAATAGTTTTTTAGTAATCGTGTCCACCGCAAAGGTAATTTCGAAAAAACAAGATTCTGAGATAATCGCGTTTAAAGTTTCAAGTTTGTTCCGGCCGACGTGGAGGTAGTGCGCTATAAATAGCTACAACTTCGGTTCTAATGCTCCGATCGTTACGAATTTTTGTGAGAGTATTCTCAACAGTATATACTTTAAGAATATTTTAAATTTAAAAATTTTTTTTCGACTATCACAACTGTATATAACCCCTTAAGTGGCCAAGGAAAAAATTACATTTACATACGTAGATGAGGTTTCGCATGGAGGTCTGATGAAACCTTCATCGACATTTAAAAACAAAATAAAACAACTCGAATTGATATTTTTAAATATTGTTAAAGACACATTTAAAATAACAACAAATTTAAAACAGACATTGTTAACACTGTTTCCAGAGTCGCTTTTTTCGCGTCAAATCTGGCTTTTTCTGAATGCCATTTGCTAGAAAAATTAACAAACACGGGCAGCGGGAATTCTGGCTTTTTATTTTATTTAAATGATTTTTTTCCGATTTTTTTGTGTATGATCGTTTCATTGGTTGCGTTCAGCAACGAATACTTATCCATCAATGAAACGATTGCTACTTTTAAGAATATTCTTAAGAATACTTTTAAAAATACTTTTAAGAATACCTATAGGGATAGCATTAGAAGAAATACCTCGTTTCCGACTTTGGTACATTGAAACGAATTTCAAGAAACGGGAATTACAAGAACGACGACGAGTTTCAAGCTGAAAAGATGCCAAAAGATTATAAACAAAAAGTTCGCGATGCGTGGCTTAAAAGTGTCGAGTTTAAGGAATGGGCACGTAGGGACGATACGGATGAGAGGCGGGTCTTATGCAGTTATTGCAAATGCACAATAACTGCAAAACTGTCCGATTTGCGCGCCCATGCCTTAACCAAAAAGCACAAAAGTGCAGCAGGAGGACATCAGCAAACAAACAAATTAGATTTTGTTACGCTTCCGGTTAAGACAATGGAGCAAGAAGCAACGCTCTGTTTGTTTATCGCGGAGCATACATCGTTTGCACAAGTAGATCACTTGGGCAACTTATTCACTAAATATTACGACAGTGACAGTGCGAGTCGAATAAGACTGCATAGAACCAAATGCACAAACATCATAAAAAATGTGTTGGGAGTGCATTTCTCGGAAGAGTTGAGAGCCGATATTGGGGACTCAAAGTTTAGTCTCCAAATAGATGAGTCAACTGACGTTGGATTTACCAAAATTCTAGGTATGTATGACTCATTTGTATATATATATTTCTTTACGTTTCATATAATATCGTTTAAATGGTTTTTATTTAATTCTATATGTACTTATGTAGGGGTTGCCATCAATTACTTTTCGCGTCAACATGAAAAGTTTGTTTCGACATTTTTAAGGGGGGGGGTAAGGTATTTAATATTTTTCGTATTTTTTTTTATATTTTTTTTTTAAAGTTCAACATCTTAAGAATATTGTGTCCAAGTTTTACATCGATCAGAGTAAAATTGACGAAGTTATGCGGAGTTGAACGAAGGTCGGTTGGTGTTCAATGCATGGGAATCACAAAGTTTAAAGCGCTCTCCTGAAAAATTCAATTTTTCAAATCGGTGTACACGATTACAGAAAAACTACTGGACCGATCGATTTGAAATTTGGCACACACATTCTTTAACTAATTCCTCAGGTATTCACGTCGGCCTTTTTTTAAATTTTAATTTTTATATATTTTTAAATTAAGAAATAACGTTTTTTTTTTAGTCAAAAATCGGGTTTTTGACTTTCAAATTTCCTAAAAAATCACAAAAAAACTAAAAAAAAAAACGCTTCCTGATTACCTCGGGACACTTATCCTTTAACGAATGAGGTATAATTTTTTTAGATCGGATGATCCTGTGGACTGTTAGGATGTACACCGCAAAACAACTTTTTTTGGAGGCGACTCGGGAGATTCCCTATAACTTCTCTACTTCGAAATATTTTTCAATACAAAATTTTTCAAAAATTATTCAAATGTTGTGTTATTATATGGTATTTAATTCATTAAGCTAACTTTAGCCGTTCCGCCACAATAATTTTTTGAAAAGTGGCCATTTTTGCACCGAATTAACCTTACCCCCCTTAAACCTAATTTCCCTAGATCAAGGAAACGCATCCAGCATTGTTGCGGCCTTAAAAACTGAAATAAAGGATCGCAAGCTTGATATAAAAAAATTAATAGGCATTGGCACTGACAACGCAAATGTGATGATAGGCACAAATAAGAGTGTTTATACCGAGCTAAAACGGGAAGCACCATCCTTAATTTTAATAAAGTGCGTCTGCCACTCGATACTTGAGTCACGCTTGCAAAGATTTTTTGCCGGCCAGTTTGGAGTTTTTAGTCCACGAAACCTACAACTGGTTTTCGAAAAGTTCAGCTAGACAAAGTACAAAAAAATATACCAATCTATAAACGACGACAAGGTTTGTTATATATAATGTGTTTGTTGTAAGTGGTTTTTGGTCTAAGTCATTTATACTTAGAGTTCTAAATAAATATGTTTGTAATATATGTTGTAATATTAGCTCTCTGATTGTTAAATTTTGTACTAACGATAATTTGATAATTAAAACTAATTTTTAAATATACTTCTTTAAGGCTCCATTAAAGATCCCAAAAGTGTCGGACACGAGATGGCGTTCTATTGAGCTGCCTGTATCTCAAATTTTACAACAATGGGAAAAACTGAAACTTCATTTTAGTTTAGCGGCAAACAAGGAAAAATGCCACAAAGCGGAACTCCTTCAGAAAATGTTTAACGAAGAAAACTATTTATATTTGCTTTTTCTAAGTCCAGTTTTAGCAGAATTGCAAAAAGTGAACAAGTGTTTTCAGAGCAACAACACAAATGCAACCGAATTATTAAATGATTTGACGTTGGCCATTCAATCTTTGAAGAAGGGCATTATACCTCCGGAAATAGACATAGATTTATTGGAAACAGAAGACTTTGAAAAATATGTCGACGGTAATGTCAAGCAAGGATATGAATTTGAAAAGCATATGCAATTAATTAAATTGGATCCAGATTCTGAAAAAGACATTCGAGACTGCTGCTCAAAATTTTTGATAGCACTTATTAAGCAATTAAAGCAGAGGTAAATATCTTAAACTTGATAGAATTTGTAAATTTATAATTTTTTTTTTTTTATTTTAAGGCATCCAGACAA